CCCCCTCCACTCTCAAAACCCCCCGTGTGCCAGAACAGAAGGCACCACCTTCCAGAGAGGCTAGAGCAGATGTCCCCACGTCACCAAGCTAGAGAAGGGTCCAGAGACATGCCTGAAGTGAACATCTTCATTTCAGGGTGGATTACAGCCTGATTTTTCTCAACCCAGTCTTCTGTTTAAAACCTCCTTCTGTTCAACCTCGGAATACGGGTGCAGAGCTACGGCTCCCTTCCACCAGCGCTGCCAACGCTAACCCAAGGAGCTCGCCACAGAAACACGCAGCCTGACATCTAACCCTACCTGCTGCGGGCTCCCGAGGGGCTGACTTCAACCCCTACCTCGGACCATCCTGCCCTGCCCTCCACGAAGAGCAGGGCTTTAGGCACAGCCGAAATCAGGAGACGCCGAGGCAGGCAGCCAAGAGCTCTGCCCCGCCGAGGGCACTGCTGCCAGGGCTCGGTGGTGGGGAAGGAACAGGTCTCTACTCTCCGCTCGATTCAATATTGCTTTCCTTGCTCTTCTCTGGGAGATTCACAGCCCCTCTTTTGTTGTCTGTTCCTGGGAAAGGCACGGGGGTAGCCAGGGCCTGAAGGATTTTTACACCCTCTAATCTGCCAGCCCCACTGCAATTGAACCCACAAACACATCTTGGTCCTCGGGGTGCTGTGGTGTAACAGGCGAGCACCCAAATCACAGCCGAGCAGCAAAACAGATCTACCAGAACACACAGCAAAGGTGTGGCAAGCATTCACCCTGGCTCATCCTCCTCCAAAATCCTGGGCACGGGGGTGGTGTCAGCCACAGCCCACCCAGCTACGGGACAGCCAGGAGAAGGCAGAGCAGCACCTGGACGCACACGCTGGGCTTTGCTCTGGCGTCTAGTCCCTGGAGAGCACAGAGATTCCATCAGAAAGCGTTGAAGTGTTTTATTCTCTTCGGCTGCACTTTCATTAGACCTGGGCCACGTCCTATCGATCCGCGTGGGAGGAGCGAGACAAAGCCACCAGCTCAGGCTCTCCTCTCCATCTGTCAAACCCCTCAGCAACCGGCGAGGCGGGAGCACGGCGGCACC